TTTTCTTTTGTTCTTGTCTCATTCTGTTCACTTCCTAACTCTTACTTCCTGAGATTATCTCCCAAATGACCTCCTGCTCCCAAGTCCCCTTCTCGGTCTTGTCAGAGATTGATAGGCAATCAATAATCAGCTCCATCAGCTCACCTTGCTCAGAATAAAAGGGTAACTTATTGGAAGAATGGTCCAGGTTTCACACTGCAACTAGACTGCCGGGAAAACTGAAATCAGGACTCCAATACCACTAAGTTTCTCTCTGTCCCCTCCCTCTAATGGCATTATCTTGTTTGTTTGTTTGTTTTTGAGAGAGGGTCTCACTTGCTCACCCAGGCTGGGGTGCAGTGGTGTCATCACGGCTCGCTGCAGCCTTGACCTCTCAGGCTCAAGTGATCCTCCCACCTCAACATCCCGAGTAGTTGGGAGTATAGGCATATGCCACCATGGCCGACTAATGTATTTTAATTTTTTGTAGAGATGAGGTCGCACTATGTTACCCAGGTTGATCTCAAATGCCTGAACTCAAGTCATCCTCCCACCTCAGCCTCCCAAAGTGCTGCGATTACAGGCATGAGCCACCACACCCGGCAAATGGCATTATCTTTAAAGACAATAAAATCTCTCCTCCAGACCAGAGAGTAAAATCCCAAAAAATGATTGGAATTGATGCCCTTTGGGTCAGTATTCATGATTGGTCCAATGGAAGACGGGATGCTATTACTGGTCCAACTCTGACCACCAGGTCAGAGTTCTAGGCCTGGGTCAAACCATCATGGCCAGGTGGCAGTGTCAGGGACTCCAGGCATAGCCAACAGGGGAAACAACTGTTTCAGGGCATCCCAGAAATAGTGGGACGACTGGGAGCTGGGGAAACCTTCCCACTATTTTTCCAAAACGACCACCACCCATTCCCTGTTCTTTTAGTTCCTAGTTAATGATTCCTTCTGTTTCCTTCTTAGACTCTCTCCTTCCTCTGCCTGTCCCAGAAATGCTGGTGTTCCTGAGAGTTCCATCCTTACCCGTTTTCTTTTATTCTCTTCTCTCTTCTATTCTCTTCTCTTCTCTCCTTCCTTCCTTCTTTCTTTTCTTTTCTCTTTCTTTCGTTCTGAGAGTTCCATCCTTACCCATTTTCTTCTCTTCTCTCCTCTCCTCTCTTCTCTTCTCTCCTTCCTTCCTTTCTTTCTTTTCTTTCTTTCTCTTTCTTTCTTTCTCTCTTTCTTTCTTTCTTTCTGAGAGTTCCATCCTTACCCGTTTCCTTCTCTTCTCTTCTCTTCTCTCCTCTCCTCTCTTCTCTCTTTCCTTCCTTCCTTTCTCTTTCTTTCTTTCTCTCTTTCTTTCTTTTCTTTCCTTCCTTCCTTCCTTCCTTCTGAGAGTTCCAACCTTACCCGTTTTCTTTTCTTTCTCTCTCTCTCTCTCTCTCTCCCCTTTCTTTTTTTGAAACGGAGTCTCACTCTGCCATCCAGGCTGGAGCGCAGTGGTGTGATCTCAGCTCACTGCAACCTCCGCCTCCCAGGTTCAAGCAATTCTCCTGCCTCAGCCTCCCAAGTAGCTGGGACTACAGGAGCCCGCCACTTCACCTGGCTAATTTTTTGTATTTTAGTAGAGACAGGGTTTCACCGTGTTGCCCAAGCTGGTCACCAACTCCTGAGCTCAGGCAATCCACCCGCCTCAGCCTCTCAAAGTGCTGGGATTACAGGTGTGAGCCACCACACCTGGCCTCTTCTCACTCTTTGTATTCCCAGAATCACCTCATTCTTTGGTAGACTCTCCAACATTTAATCCACTCCACATGGTATTCTCTCCAACATTTAATCCACTCCACAAATGTAATCTAATCTAGTCAAGGTAATTCTATTCCCCTCGGCAACAATTTGTCTGGCATAAAAAGGCCTAAACCAGATTAGATCAATGAGATTCAATGAGATGTTTGTTTAGGACTTCTGGGAGAGAGAAATCAGTCTTACCCTTGCCTGTGGAATGGGAGGAGGAGTCAATGGCCATAGCAGCCACTTTGTGGCATGAGGGGAACAGGCTTTGTATATGAAGTCAGTGGTGGGGAGAGTAGAAGAGTGAGACGGGAACATCTCACTGATGACATTGTTAGATCAGAGAATATACCCACTCTGTCCTGCCATTGGGCTTCTTGCTTTGCAAGTTGATATATTGGCATATTCCTTAAGCCAGACTGAATCAGGAATCTGCAACCTGGAGCTGAAGGCATTCCACTTCATTCACACTTAGCACCATAAGGTCTCTCAAGCTCACTTTCCTGGGCTGCAGATCTACCAACACTTCCCAACCTTGCTGCTCCTCTTCCTGGGTTCCCTATAATTCATTTTACTTAACCAATAAGAACTGGATGCCCGCCATCATCCTAAGCACTGTTTTAGACATGCAGTGAAACAAAGTTGCTGTCATTGCGGATCACTGAAGGAGGCATATGATAAACAAAACTATCTTCTGAATAAATGAAGTAATGAATAACGCAGTGTAGGAACTCTAGCAATATCCAGTGAAAAGCTTTTATCTACAGACTATCACACCAGGGGCTGGTACTCACTCAAACGGCACTAGGAAGCGAGTGTCAGATCCTGTCCTGGCAGCCCTTGGCGTCTAACAAGGTAAATAAGACGGGGCCTGTCCTCTGGAGCCCAGAATCCAGGAAGAAAGACACAAATGTACTGAGTGCTTGCTTTTCACATCGCGTGGAAGTGCTTTGGAGAGTGCGAGCTTTGGAGAGTGCGTCCTGACCCGGGGTCCAGGCCCAGTCAGTGTGACCTTGCCTGAGTCACGGTTGCCCTCCGCCCGCCAGTCCCCGGCCGGCGACTGTAGGGTCCGACTCCTCGAGATTTCTCGACGCCCGTTCCACCGAGATTCAGGGGCTGCCTGGGGTGCCGGGGAGGGGGGCCGAGGGATGGGGTACGTGGGGCTAGAAGGGTGGCACTGAGACCCGTAGGGAGGGGGCCAGTGAAGTGAGTAAAGAGGGATCGACAGAGAAGGAAATCCTTGGGGAGAGGACCACCAACGCGCGCTTCCTCCCCTCCCCGCCCCCGC